GGGTGCCGTCCTGCCTACGGGCTGCTGCGACGCCAGGGAGGCGCAGCGTCTTGGCACAGCATTTCCCTAGTTCCAGCTCTGACTGCACTGTGAGCTCCTGAATGTACCCCTCCCTGGAGCCACGTATCCTACCCTTTCCATCCTTTTTGCACGCCGGTTGCTTGAAGTGTTTCACTTTGACGTGTTCAGGCCTATAAATTCTTCCAGGACACCAGCCTGGGAAGTGAATTTGTTTTCACTTAACATCTCTGGTGGGATATAGCCTCATCCCATCCCACTAGAACTTGAATGCAGATTCTGTTGTTGCAAAATTTGATTCTACATATTTGAATTGCAAATAAGGCATTTGCTTTTGAGCACAAATCCAACTTGTTTGCAAGCCTTGCTAGATATCCCCCATCAGGGCTAGAGAGGGAGGGAAGGTCCTATGATACTTTATCCAGGGTGATGATATTAAAAATTAAATGTCAGTGCTGGTACTGTAACCCTGGGGGGTTTTGTCTTGAATTTCGGTCCGGGCACTGGTTTCTCAAGGTCTCTTTTTGTGTCATGTTAGAAATACCTTATTTCAGTTCTCCAGTATCCCTCCAGGGAAGTGCTCTTGCTGAAGACTTTATGGCGCAGCGTGTGTGGTAATTTCTGAACCAAACAGTGCTGTGCACTGACAAAGCTGATGGTAATACCCGTCCTTCAGAGGCGTGACTTGCAGGACCTTACACTGAGAATAATTTTGGTTTCCTTTTCTCTCTGCATAGTTCTGCCATCCTCGTCTCCAGCAGCCGTCTCGGGCTGCGATCTTTGCCAAGACACTTCAAGGTACCCAACTTCTTGTTGAATCTGTTCCCTTCATCCTCCTGGCGTGTCCCAGTTAGCTCACGTCCACAGCGTAACGGCGTTACACCTCTAGTCTTGTCCTTAGAGCTCACCGTAGTCCGTTCTTCCTGATCTACAGGTATTTTTGTTCTCCCAAGTTTTAAGCGTGAATGTAAAACTGTGGCATCAAAAAAATGTTAATGCACTATTCTCGAGTAGTGCTGGGGTGCTGAGCTACGGCCGTAGGCGCTACAGGATCCCCCGGCCGCCGGGCCCCCC